GGAAAGCCCCGCGCCGGCGCTCTGCTTTTCGGGGAAGCGTGGGCAGCGGAGCTGGGGCCAAGCCTCCCTCCGGGGAGCTGAGGGGCTTGGGCACCCCCCTGGGGGAGGCGGCTGGGCAGGCACGGGGCTGGGGGGGTTCAGGCAGGGATGTTTTTTTTTTTTCCTTTGGTCAAAACATATGTCTATATATACATAAAAGTCCGGGCAGGGGGGGTCCCTTCATGGAAGCCCAGACAAGGAGGGCTGGAAGGCACCTCGGGGGGTCACCTCGTCCCACCTCCTGCTCAAAGCAGGGCCGTCCCCTGCTAGATCATCCCAGCCGCAGCTTGGAAACGCCCAAGGACGCTCCCTGGGCTGCCTGTCCCAGTGCTCGACTCCCCTCCTGGTGAAAAAATTCTTCCTAAAACCTAAACTCCCCTTGTTGCAACTTGAGAACATCGCCCCTTGCTCAGTCACCTGCCAGCCCTGCTTTCCTATGTGGGGCAGGGCCGGATGTCTGAGAACAGGGGGAGTTCCTTCAGGCAGAGTCTTCGGGTTGTAGCCGTATCGGTCTAGAGGAAAAGGCACAGCTCTGGCAGGAGAGCTGAGACTCCTTACCAGCTAAGAGCTGCTGCCCAGAGGGTTTTTCCATCTATTGACTCCTCTGTGAAATCCTAGGAAATGTGAACTTTCATTTCTACCCGGGAGAACTTTTCCAATCATTTCTCTGATGCCTGATGAAAGGTCTTTGTGCCCAAAAGCTTGCAATTAAAGGCATTTTTTTTTTTTGCAAAAATCTTGGTCTAATAAAAGATATTACTCCAGTAGTTCTTGTGCAGTTAGTTGGCACTTGCTTAATGAAGTACCAACTCAATGCACAGTAACTACAGTCACTGCACAGTAGCACAGGCAAACAGGTTGCTTTGTGATGCTTACTGTGCAGTAGCCTAATACTACTGCACAGTAGCGTATTAGCAGGGTTTTTGCCCAGCACACTACTGTGCAGTGTTATTAGGCTACTGCAAATTAAGCATCTCGTGTAGGCATGCCCAGGGTGGAGTGAGGAAGGGGCACTGCCCTAGGCCAAGAATGGAGAATGGAGAAGTGAGGAAAGGGCATGGCCCAGTGGGTCAGCAGCAGCCAAGGGCAAGGGCAGTGGTGGCATGTGGGATGACACTTGGTTGAGTCCTGTCCACTTTTCAACTTTGACCCAAACCTGTGACCAGTTGCTGGGTTGGTTGCCAGTGTTGATTTCCAGGGCTTCAGC